TTAGGACGAAATTTGCTGTATGGGAATATATGATTAAATCTAATGTTTAATTACATATTAGAAAATAATAAATTATACACTTAAATAAGGTTTATTCTTTTGATATTAAAAATAGTTATAGGAATCAAGATTTAAAAATTAAAAGTGAAAAATTTCTTATTAAATTATCTATTAAATTATCTAGTCCTACAGGTTCATTTTATTGAGTTATAACTTTAAAAATAACTGAAAAAGCTAAAAATTCACCACTTGAAAAAAAATTTAAGTGCTATTAAATTAGCTGAGGCAAAAATATATTACGTGGCTCAAAAGTTTGAATTATTTATTATAGTTTTCTCTTAATACAAACCTGAATACCGCGTTATCTTATGCTTCGCTAACCCGTCAGAGGATGACGTCACAAATCTACTGAGAGGCCTTCACTCTCGGTGGCTATGAATAGACTCCGGGGAATAGTGACGTCACCGTCCGTGTTCGAAAGCTGCAAGGTTTGGGGTCCAGGAGTGTTCGGAATGTTTTGGGATGTCTTTAGGACGAAATTTGCTGTATGGGTACATACATATGTTTGAAAAATTCTTTTAAATAAAGAATTATCATGAGTTTGCATACTTTTAAAGATATGGGTATAGCCAAAGATACTATAATATAAGATTAATTATATAATACTATATTACAAGTTAATTACTTCACACAGTTATTTTTTCTTGTCATGAATATTATAAGACAATTTTAAAAACTCATGTATTTTCTAAAAATTCATTAATAACTTAATATCATTATTAAATGAAAATTTACTCCTCTTATCACCATTTGTTCGTTGAAATTCAGCGCCATCTGGCAATGATTCAATAAACTTTCTATCCAAAGCCAAAAATCTCGCAGCCAGTTGTAAAGAGATAGGTTTGCAACATTTGGCAACTTTTCGCTGTTTACAACTGGCTGAGGCGTCGAAAAATTTCGCCCTGCGCATGCGCAGTTGCTCAGCCGGTTGTACCCACAGACACAAGTTGCCGTGTACTGTCATGTGGCGCTGTGACAAAGCTTTTCAACCATTTTTGTTTACATTTGAAACTGTGGATCAATAATGCAGTGAAGTAAGTAATTTATCATTTTCTTTAAACTTTTGTCTGTGGTTGCAACTGATAAAATTTTTAAACAGTATTGATTTTTATTACTTATTATAAATGTTACTCGTGTCTTGCAATAATGCAGTATTTAAAGGTTTGAATAATGCTGTAACGTTTTTCTGTTATGTCCCCAAAACGTGAAGTTTTAAATTGCAATATGTAAATTGTTTTTTTAGACAACCTAATTTTGTTGTGCACATCCATGTGCAAATTGTTAAGTTTAAGTTCATATGCTTCAGAAAAGAGAGAAAACTACTAACAGAACGAGAAGTTACTGTAGATATGGCATAGTGTAGGCTACATGAATAATTATATAAAAGTTTAAATTGCTTTTATAAATTTTATTCACGTCATTAATTCTGATATGTATAAGAGTTTCGTATATAAAACACATTATTTCAGCAGGAACTAATCAAAACCAATTATTTTGATTCAGAACTATGTTATTTAAACGGAAGACTGTCTTATTATTTATCTATCAGAATAGAATGTTTATTATAATAAAATATATATATTTAAAAGAGCATTATTAATTAGTATACAATAATAAACATTAAATCCTTTTTTTTTTACCTTTCAGATGCACCCAAGGAGAATTAATGGTTGGATTTAGTCAAAAGAGGTAAATTAAATAAGTTTTTTTCCCCTTTATAATTAAAATAATTATTGCATCACAAAGCTTTCAAGTTATAAAATAAAAGAATTTATTATCAAAAATTTGTCATTAAGATATTTTTTTACTAAGAGTTTTTCATTTAGTTTAAATTAACATGCCTAATAAATTCTTTAAAGTAAAATTTTTGATATATAATACAATATTTGATAATATATTTCTACATTTTCCAACCTTACTAATTTTTGTTATTTTAACATTATCAATATCTTTGGTACCAAATAATATTTATCTCTCAATAATATTGTACTTAATAGTTATCATTGTGTATAATCATAATGTTATCTTTTTGATATATAGTATTATTGATAATGATTTCAATATTGTGGGATGTATGGTTATAATTATAGCCAGGATATTTTATTTAATACACCTAGGTGTGTTATTGTAGCTTATATTGACCCTTGAATGAAAATATGGCATTGTTTTTGTTTCTAGTGAATTTGTTAGTGAACTTGGTTGCATGGCCTTGGCAACGAATAAGTATCTTCAAATATCTGACATTAAAGTATTCAGACCTGATTTTTCCACCCGGCATTACTTGGACAGTTTAATATCTGTTGAATTAAGAAATTTTATCAGTTAAAGTTAAATTTCTAATATTTCTTTAAGTTATGTTACGTTTATAATCTCTAATAAATATAAATCAGTAACTATACATATTGACATAAAAATATATTACGTAGAGATTATTTCAGTAGTTTGACTTTTGTAAAAAAGTTATAATATAAATTAACTAATGATGAAAATGATTCTGCAGTGACGGTGGAAAATAATTTTGTGGTTAATATTATATTTTATAAAAATATTGTTAGTTGCAAAAAGCACTTTAAATTAAATAATAAGCATCATGAAAGCATATGAATGGATAAAATGAATTGATGAAAATATATTAATGAAATGTGCATGCATATTGTAAATATTGTTTGTTCATCATTGAAATAATTTCATTGTCTACTTTCAATTTATTGATTATATTGAATAGACATTTAAGTATACCCCATGAAAAATCCTAAAATTATGAACTTACAATGTCAGGAAACAAGCGATAAAATTTTATAATCCCTTTTCATGCAATCAAATGCAAAAACTATAAAGATAAAAGTATAAGCTATGAATTGATAATTGTTTTTTTAATAAAAGATATTGCAACGAATTAATTTATTCTAAAATACAGATGAACTATCTTGTGCTGTGAATGTTTACTATGTGCTTTTACATTTCAAGAATATATGATTTGACAATGCTTTTAGGAATTTCCTTTATTTATGTGTTTATTTATAATTTAAAACTGGCTTTACATTTTCCAAAGAATCATTTCAGTTATTTTATAATGAACTTTTGTCTTCCATGTAAGACTAAAGTCTAAAATATTCATTTTAGGAATAATTTATTTTATTAATTTCTTTGTATATACATTTAGAATATTTCTGAAAACTCTATTTATCCCTGGGGAAGTTTTTTTCTCCATACTTTTGATTTTATTTATTTTTTATTATAGAAAAAAACTTAGGTTTTAGCAAACCCTGTTTCCCCCTGACAAAAGTTTGCCGTAACTCCAACTTTTTGACTGTAGGTTTATCTAATACATACATAAAAAACTCTTATTTGAAATTCAGTTGCTTTTGTGTTTTCATAATGATAGTATTTTTAAAATGTACTGTAATTTAAGTTTGTGTTTTATTTTTATTTCAGGTTCTTGGAAAAGGTTTTGTAGGATGTGAGATTTCTCAACCCGTAGCGCATGCGTATGCTGAGCAGCACCCTCTGAATGGCGGATGGAACCGAATAAATAGACGGCAGTCGCGAGGCGTGTATGGTTATCTGCTAGTGTTAAACGTTAGCTCAGTTGTTGCTTATGTCTCGGCGAAAGAGCGAGATTTCAACAACTTACGGAGTCGAACGCAACAGTCAACGAACACCCGGAGTTATGGTCTTTGGTGCCATAGCATATCATAGACGATCTCAATTGCTACGAATTATGGGTCTTCTGAACAGCATCTAATACATTAGTGAAGTTCTATAGACCCAAGTTGTTCCCTTCCTTCAAGCCTTGCCAGGCTCTGTATTTCAACAGGGCAATGCCCACCCTCATATTACTAGGACTGTTAAATCCTTTCTTGCATCGCGGCATGTTCAGCTTCCTCCTTGGCCTGCGTATTCCCCGAATATGTCGCCGGTTGAACATGTGTGGGATTTCGTTGGTCGGCGTCTCGCTCGTGATCCTTGACCTGTTGCTTCTACGGGCGAACTTTGGGCATGCATACAAACAATATGAAATGCTCTTCCTCAGACAGACATTCAAATTATCAAGAACTTTTGGACATTTTAAAGTTTTAGTCTTAGATTTAGACATTTAAAAGTATTAGTCTAAGACTTGAATATTTAGTTCAAAATATTTTCAGATTTTAATAAAATAAAAATTTATTACTTAGTTTTTAATAATTTTATATATACTATAATTTTTTTTTTGAGAATCACTTTGCATAATTTTAAATCTGCAACAAGTATTTGAAACAACCTCTCCGCGCATGCGCGAACTGTCACGAGTGCTTTTGCAGAGCAGGTGATGTTTTCATGTTGAAGAGAACGGCAGCTTTCTCTTTTGCGGGAATTTTCTCCAATATCTACCTTTACCTTTTCTATGTTATCTTTGTGTCTAAATAAACTAATGAAAAGACACATGGTCCGTCATTTATTTACCTTTAATTTACGAATAACTTTCATCATTTCGATATCTCTAATATCTTAAACACAACCTGTAATATACTTGATTAAAAAATATATACCTTGGAAATAACAATTGACATTTTTAATGCAAAAGTGATTTAAAATATAAATTTTCACATTTTATACTTGAAATCACTTCTGTTTCTTCTCATTCATGCCTTGAAAATGGGCGACTATTTTTCAGCACTTGAAATGTGTAGACTATTTTTTCCTATTTGTATGTTTTGAAAAGAATGAAGTTTTTAATCCAGTAATACTTTATTGCTTGTTTCTAATGATTATTTAACCCGAATGATATGTATTCGTTTTGGAAAATTATCCGAAAGAGCTCCATTAATTAATGAAAATGTAAAGAATGTGTTTTGATTAATTTAAATAGCCTTAATAAAATTTGTGAAAAGGGGAAAAAATATCAAAATTCTGGAATGTCTATGATTGTAAAAAAAAAAAAAAAGCTATCAGAAACGGAAGTTACTATTCAGTAAGGCAGAATAAAAAAGTTTGTTCATAAACTTAAACAATCATCTTACATTTTATCAGTTTTTTCATCAAGCCCTACTCAGATGGGATACGCCAATTTATTTTTCTTCGTAAAAAATTACTTCAGGACCACTTACGATTGTTACAAATCTCCTCAATGTCCATAAACAGAATTAAGTATTATTATAAAATTAAATATAGTGAAATGTTTGGTGTATAATTGTTAAACTTGTGAACATTTAATATCTAGACTAGATTTCAATATAGTTAAAGCGTGACAATTTGGATAGTTCGGCTAGGAAAATTTAAATACTGCAAAATGGAAGAAAAAAAAAAGGATTATATAAAAAAAATAGCCGAACTGGATAGTTCGGCTAGGAAAATTTAAATATTGCAAAATGGAAGAAAAAAAAAAGATTATATAAAAAAAATAACATACAACCTCTTTTTGTTTATTATTTAATGCCAAAATTTTCTGTGTTCCATGTTATAAATTTTACTTAGAAAAAAATATCACACCATTATGAATTTGTCAATAATAATTAAAATTACAACTAATAAGCAAAGAGTCACTGCTTCAATACATAAAATCAGTAATTTTTTATTTTTCATAATTTTCGAAATTCTGATGACAAGCTATTGGGTTGGCACAATTCGGGATAATTTAGTTTTTGCAATATTTAAATAGAAAGTGATACAACTTTTTTCATATTTGAAGTTCTATTTCATTTGACAAAAAATTTTGGATTAAAATGGCAGATAATCAGGGACCATAAAAAAGGATATGGGGTCACGGAAAAAATCTTATTTGCACAAATAAAACATGTGGCAAGTTATGGATTAAGAAAAATAAAATTCTTGAAAGATAATTTAAAATTGAAACATTCCAGTTCACTATATATTTATTATCACTCAAGAAAAAGCCTGTTTAAAATTATTTAATTGTATTCTTATAATAAAGAGCAGAATGCTAGAAAGTTTTCTTTTCGAAAAACAGGTATTAATTTTGTTATTCATAATAAAAAATCTAAAAAACATCACCTAATTTTTTTACTAAATTTTTATTTCAAAAGCACTAATACAATATTCAATACCCACTGTGGATAATGAAACTATTATTTTATAAAAGAAACCTAATTGCTAAGCAATGTGAATAAACTTTTTCAGAAAATATTCTAAATAATAAAATGCAGTTTAAATAATGATGAAAACTAGAAGATGAAAGCAGAATTTGGAAATACAATTTTAATAAAATTACATAACAAAAAATATATCTTCATAAATAACAGAAAATAAAACCAAAATTATTTAATACTTGAAACAGTATACATTTGGATTTTTAAATGAGGTTTAAATAATGCTAGTGTCGACTACATGCAAATAATAATATAAGAAATAATTATATATTTTGATAACTGCAATTATTATCAATGGGAACTCAGTTCAAAGAACTTCTAGGATCTCAATTTTATGAACAATATATAACTAACTTAAACATTTTGTAATATGCCCAGGTGAAATAACTTAACTATTTTAAGTAAAATTCCATTAACTTAATGAATTGAGAGTAACCTGCATTCCTTTTTCCTTGCCTGGTCTCTCAATCATAGAACTAAACACTTAAATAATGCATATAGACAAAAAAGCTTATCTACATGTAGGGAGATAAAAAAGTAGCAGTAATTAACTTAATCTGCCAAATATAATTTTAAAAAATTCATTATCACTGAAACATTCTTCCCCTTGACTAATAATTTATATATTATATGCCTTTTAGTAAGCAGACTTATAGCCACAGTAGAAATAATATTTAATGGAAATTTTTGAAAAAGTATACAAGATAAAGCAACGAGGCAAACATTTTGCAATATACAGTTAAAATCAATTTAAGTGAATTTGGATGCATCGAAGAAGTATGTCAAAACAAAATCCACCATATTTGTTTTTAAGAAACTTTTGTACCAGATAAAACAATGAGGAAAAAAATTATGGGAATTCCAAGGCAATAATTCAAATTAAAATCATAGAGTGTCAAACGAATAAAATCTGTGGGGAGTGGAGTTACAGACCATGTCAACCGTCATCTATGAAAAGGTACCCCGACATAGAATCGAGTTAACATGTCTTATATACTAGTGAATTGTAGTTGTAATTTTGTAGTGGTAGATACGCTACAGTACTCACCCANGTACTAGTTGTAAGAAAATAATTTAAGATGAATTATGATTTTTAAACAAATTAAATAACAACATTTGATAACATAAAGACTATAACATTTTGGCTGGATAAAAATCTTTAAAAAAATAATCCGACCCATCAAATAGAAAGCTGTCTGCGAAAATGTAGCTGAAAATTAAAAAAAGAAAGAAAGTGAATATTCATTGAAGGCACAAAAGAAAAATATAAACCAATAAACAATTTTTTTTAAATTTAATAATTTGAATGAATCAGTTATGACATGGCGATAATGATTCTATCACAGAGGTATCTGATTCATGTATAAATATATTCAAACTTAAATTTATTTACAAGAATACCAATATTGCTTTAATTAAGAAATTTTATGTTTCAGAAGATAGGTACTAGTTGTAAGAAAATAATTTAAGATGAATTATGATTTTTAAACAAATTAAATAACAACATTTGATAACATAAAGACTATAACATTTTGGCTGGATAAAAATCTTTAAAAAAATAATCCGACCCATCAAATAGAAAGCTGTCTGCGAAAATGTAGCTGAAAATTAAAAAAAGAAAGAAAGTGAATATTCATTGAAGGCACAAAAGAAAAATATAAACCAATAAACAATTTTTTTTAAATTTAATAATTTGAATGAATCAGTTATGACATGGCGATAATGATTCTATCACAGAGGTATCTGATTCATGTATAAATATATTCAAACTTAAATTTATTTACAAGAATACCAATATTGCTTTAATTAAGAAATTTTATGTTTCAGAAGATAGGTACTAGTTGTAAGAAAATAATTTAAGATGAATTATGATTTTTAAACAAATTAAATAACAACATTTGATAACATAAAGACTATAACATTTTGGCTGGATAAAAATCTTTAAAAAAATAATCCGACCCATCAAATAGAAAGCTGTCTGCGAAAATGTAGCTGAAAATTAAAAAAAGAAAGAAAGTGAATATTCATTGAAGGCACAAAAGAAAAATATAAACCAATAAACAATTTTTTTTAAATTTAATAATTTGAATGAATCAGTTATGACATGGCGATAATGATTCTATCACAGAGGTATCTGATTCATGTATAAATATATTCAAACTTAAATTTATTTACAAGAATACCAATATTGCTTTAATTAAGAAATTTTATGTTTCAGAAGATAGGTACTAGTTGTAAGAAAATAATTTAAGATGAATTATGATTTTTAAACAAATTAAATAACAACATTTGATAACATAAAGACTATAACATTTTTGACACTAATGAAAATGAAGAATATTTTGTTAGAAATATTTATTTTCAAGAAAAGAATAATATTGTTACTTATCAATCTTTGGAGTCAGAAAAACACTTACCACAATATCTCTATAATGTATCTATTATCTATAATTAAGCACCACAAATAATTTGGTTACTCATTTACTGCACTTGTAATATAAAAGTACCATAATTCATTCAGGCATTAGCATTAAAATGAGATCATGAAATTTGTCCCTGGTATCCCCACACCTCTGTATGCATTTGAAATGGATATATTTAAACCAAGTGTTAGTCTTTTCTTTTTTTCAACAATTATGCTTTGAAACAAATTTAAAATTATCAATTTAATTACATTGTAAAAATGAAAGGTGTTTTAAGATTAAGTTGTACATGTTGTAAGATGCTACATCATTATAAATGTTTCGTTTATTTACTAACTCTCCCTATTTTTTTTTTCTTCAATTAGGATATTAACTAAAAGTTATTAAATAGATTTATTTATTTAAATTATTAAAAGAATCAAAAAAACACTGCCGAAAACTTAAGTCAGTTTAAAAGATTAAGTTTTTGATTTATTTTAAAAGTAATTCTATTAATAAAAAATCAGCTTAAGTAATGAAGGATATATTTAAAAGATAGAAAATAAATATGTGTATGCCAATTGTGGCATCACAATCATAACATTTTGCATTTAATATTATCAAAACTTACATTATATACAATCCAAATATACTCATCATACAAGATAAATTCAATTTAATAAGAAATGCTCAATTAAAAATTTGTATAGTTTATTAATAAATACAAATTTAGTCTGGCATTTTTTAAATACTTTAGTAAACAAAAATTAAATACGTCTGTCAGACATTCAGGGTTGTCTCTGAGACATCTAAAAGAATATCCAGAAACTAAATATAACACATCTAAACGATGTGAGAGAGATATCAATGTTAAACTTAGGATATCCCTTGGATAACTGCGGTAGGTCAAAGATATCTGTCAGATGTCTCTTGG